CATTAAAGTTGCAGCTTATAGTAGCTTCAGACCCACAGACATGTTTAAAAATTGTCGTTCTGATTATGTCCTCAACTGTGCTTTGCTTGATGGTTGGCTCAATTGGTTGTCACGTAATGGCGACACATCTATCCTCACGCATTTTCGGTATTGGCCAGGTCAAAACACGCGTTCTCGGTATTGACCTAGGCAAAAGCTATCGCGTGACGAAGGCACCGCGCGCTCGTACGAACGATGGAGCCGGGTCACTATTCAGGTATCAGAATATGATTATGCAGTGTGACTGCTCGAAGAAAAGTCTCTGTCTCTTCAGTCACCTCTAGTTTGAGGAATTTTCGCCAACCATCCAGTAAAGCACGGTAGTGAGAAATTATATCGTCACTCGATGGTATCTTTGTGTTTTATATTTTACTATGTATCATACAGGCCAATATGATACATAAATATGTAAAATACATTTACACATTTATACATAATTGTATTACTTATATATATTTTTCTTTCCATAGAAAACATAAGAAGAATCATCAAGAAACGCTGTTCAAAGCTGTGGCAACAGTTTTGAGAACAGCTAGGCAGTTCAGGCGCCGGAGGTCATGGTGAGACAACGCATCGAGAAGATTGAGCATCTCGTGCAGACCGGTGTGTGTCAGGTTTTAGAAAGCCTGCCAATACCCCTGCACGCGATGCTCTCTGCCCAGATGCGTAACGAGGGAAAAGCGAAATCGGCGCGACGCTTCTCCGACAAGGAGAAGCTATTAGCTGTAAGTATTTTAAAACAGAGTTCCAAAGCTTATCGATATTTGGCAAAGTTATTTCTTTTGCCAAGCATCGAAACGCTTAGAAAACTAATATCGCAAATTCCACTAAAAGCTGGAATTTGCGATAACGTTTTTGAAGAACTCAAACAGCGGTCCAACTTATTCGTCGGTAAGAAAAGCAGATACTTTACAGTGTCTACTTTTTGATGAAATTAGTTTATCGCCTCAAGTACAGTACAATCCCTCAATGGATGCAATTGAGGGATTTGTAGATACTGGTTTTTCGCGTAATTTAGATATCGCGGATCATGCTACAGTGTAGATGCTGAAAGGAATTCATGGTGTGCGACCGTGGAAACAACCTGTTGCATATTCATTTTGTAAAGGTTCCAGCTCAGCTGAGAACCTTGTTCGTATGTTTAAAGAAATAGTTCGCCGTGCGTGTCAGGCCGGTATAGTAATAGTAGCAACAGTTTGTGACCAAAGAAGCACAAATTGCAAAGCTATTCAAAACTTATTAGATTCCTCGAAGAGAAATGCCTTTCAGGAATCGAATGCACTGTGGCATGATGTTATTGTTATCGACAATAACATGATTGTACCGCTGTTTGATACCCCCCCATTTTTTAAAATGTGTCCGCAACAACTTGCTGACAAAGGACTTGAGGTTTAAATTCCAAGATAATATTTCACGGGTGGCTAAATGGTCACACGTGGAAGATCTATATTTTATTGATAGCAGTAATGTTTATGAGGACCGATTCCTGCATAAACTTACTGCTAAACATGTTGTTCCAAGTAAAATACCTAAAATGAAGGTCAAATATTGCGCCCAAGTTTTTAGTCGAGCAGTTGGAGCCCTAATGACACTGATGAGCCGTAGCAAGGCTAAGAGTGTGTGCGATACGCTTGAAATGTCGGGTGATGGAATTGATACTGCTCGAATTATTCATTTTATGAATAATACTTTCGACAGTGTCAATAGTAGTGTTGCGCAGTCGACAAGTAGAACAGACATGACTTTAGTAAATGTTTGGAATGTATCTATTTCGGGGTTTCGTAGCATGAGCTTTTTGAAAAGAAAGCTTGCGGATAAGGAGCATCCAAAGGTACTGCAAAATTGGGTTAGGGTAAGGGGGGATACCAATTGCGAATCTGAAGAATCCGCAGGGTTTCTATGTAATTTAAAAAAATTTATATCGGTTGCTGCACGTGTATCCCCGGATGAAAATGTAATTTCTCTAAATTTGAATGTTCCAAGTGCACCTGAATTAGCTATTCAGGCTGCCATTCGATATGTTACGCGAACTATTCGAAAAAAATATGTTTGCAAAAGTTGTTTGGTCTTATTTTTCAAAACTGACAATTTCGGGGAATATTCATCGATGCAGTGGATGCACATTTTTAATTTCTAAGGTCGTTTCTGTTTGCTATGCAAATGTTTCCAACATAGCACACATTTCCGGCATTGTTACGACTATTAAATTACAAATTTCGGAGCATATGAAATTTGATTTCATATGCTCCGAACATGGAAATGATTTGAGAACATATGTACGCAGAGTGAATCGCATTATAAGTGGATTCGAATAGAGAATGGACTTGGATCCACTTCTAACGCGACCTATCGAGGTGCGTACACCTAATGTAAGCAAGACTTGATTTATGTTTTAATATGTTATAATTAATTTAAAATTTCTCTTTTAAATGAAGTAGTCTTTTTTTCAATATCTTTAATACTTCATTTTTTACATTTGAAATGTTTTTATTGTACTTTATTTTTCACATAATAAATCAAGTCTTGTATGAAAGTTAATTATCTAAACAATATTTTTATTGTATTTATAGCGGTATATGGTTTGCAGATGCGCGAGGGTAAAACTGACCGCTTGCAGATGTTAGGTTGTAAGGTAATAAAACCTACCTGGTGTTTGCAAACGGCACGGTTTGGTGACGGCAAATTATTTTAACATTCTTAAGAAACCGTTTCCGTAAAATGTGTCCTTCTTTACAACTTCTGCCAGCCATATACCGCCAAGGTCTTTCCGACCGCGCGGGTAGCGCGGTCCCGAAATGACCTTATTGCCTACATGTGGCAACCACCTTTGCCAGTCCCGAAAACTCATCGATCATCCCCGCCCCGGTTACCGAAAGGTAACGCCTTTCCGAAGAATATTATAAAGGTAGTGGAATTTGCGGAAGGATCCAGTCAGTCGCTCACTGTTTACGGGACTCCGAGTTTAGAAATACTCTTTGCGTGCTTTACTTTGTACAAATTTTAATTTACATGTTTATTAAAATATATATACAAATATTAAACTCACGCGCAATCATTTTAGTAACCCCAGCTGTTACAGTAGTATATATTTTATTCTATTTTTTTTATTATATATTTGTATTATATATTTTATTGTATTTTTTAAATTATATATTTGTATTCTATATTTTAATGTATTTTTTTAATTATATGTTTTATTGTATTTTTTATTATATATTTTTATTGTACTCTATATTTTTATTACATTTATGTATTATAAATTTAATTTCATAAAGTAGGGCCTTTTTTCCCTTCCCTTACTTTTTATTCAATTTCATTTTAAAGCAGGTAGAAATACACATATATAAGACCATGCTGTTGTGTGTGTGGCTCACGGATTATGTTGTATGTGGTAGTAACGACACTGGCGCCTCCAAACCTCGCGGGCTTGAATTAAATCTGGCTTCAACGCGAAATACAGTAGCTTGGTGGCCCTGACACTGAGCAGAGCGTAACCAACATTTCCATTCCAAAAGTGAGACTTGACGCTAATGCGCATGTGCCGAATTCGAGAACTATAGCAAAAATTCCAACTCGATGACAGGCTGACTGTAGCTTTGACTAATGGTCGAAGAGTAGTTCCTTTGAGTATATAAACATATACTCAATATACATTTCTATATACTCAAAGAGTAGTTCGCCAAACCGTCAAAAATTTCAATTCGCGCCTTTCCCCACTGCTATCGCCCATTGACTGCAGCGCTCGCGCACAACTGCTTACTCGTAACTTTGGCATGGAAGATGTTGGTTACGGACTACCCTATAGCTTGAACAGTTCATGTATGTATGGTCGAAGCTCCTTATACAGTCTTCATGGACCGCTCAAGTTATAGTGTAGTCCGTAACTAACATCTACCATGCAAAGTTACGAGTAAGAAGTTGTGCGCAAGGGCTACAGTCAATGGGCAATAACAGTGGGGAAAGGTGCGAATTGAAATTTTGGACGGTTTGCCGAACTACTCTTCAACCATTGGTCAGAGCTGCAGTCAGCTGTCATCGAGTTTGAATTTTTGTTATAGTTTTCGAATTTAACGCATGCGCTTTAGCGTCATGTCTTATTTTTGGTATGAAGATATTGGTTATGCTTTGCTCAGTGTATAAAGAGTAGGCTTGAGCAGTCCATGTATACATATATGGTCGAAGTATATATCGTAGTCTGTGCGCACTAGCGCCGCGAGTGGACGAAATATCCATAACTTAAAGCTCAGGATTTTGATATGTTGCGTACCGCTACTTTTGATAGAAGTAAATTAATTCCCAAGTCACTTCTAGATGGCAGAGCGGAGACCCGTTTGCCCGTTGTTATGGAATGTGAATGAGCCTTTGCGTTTGGTAGTTCTGTTTGAAGTTAGTTTAGCGCCAATTACGATTTTCTTGTATTTATGGTATTTCGTTTTCTTTTTGATTGCATTTTATTTTAAAACAATTGTTAATACTCACTCGCATAGCGGCCGTTAACCAGTATAGACGTCTATTGTAAATGCTTGTATTTAAAGTAAAGAAATTTAACGTTTGTGTTAAATTAGTTATATTCAAACTGTTACAATAAAGTTAATATTACATTTCTTAATTTATCTTAAATTAACTTATTCCTGGCTAAGTCGCACGCAATTCTAATAATCTTGTCACGTGCAGCGTGAACGCCAGTAAAACCCTAAGTCCTTAAAAATAAAACCGTACGGACTCGCAACAAGATTGATGACAGCGGTGGGATCTTTCCAACATTAAATAATTTTATTAATTCAGGGCATTAGAATCAGGAGCAAGGGCAAATGCTGGAGAAGGTGATCTCGACGACCGTGCTTGTTAATAATCGTTGATCACATGCACCTTGCCGACGGGTCTTCCTGCTGTATCGGATTGAGGGACGATCATCGCTGGACGAGGACTCAGGAGAAGGATCGGTGAATTATTAATTGCTGCGTACATATATATATATAAGTCGCCTCGATTTTATGTACAGTTCTGATTTCTTAACTCTAAGCCTTATCTGTATGGGCGCGCGAACTTCGTGTGCGGGGTGGCGTGTGGGGGTGCCGCGAGCGCGGCTATTCGACGTGCGTTGGGATTTACTGCACGAGAATGGATACTCTCCGTGCGAGTGAATTTCGGCGGGAGACAACAGCCCGAGAATGGATACTCTCCGTGCACTTGGAGCGGAAGGAGACAAGCACACGAGAACGGATACTCTCCGTAAACATGTCTGTGGGTCTGAAGCTACTATAAGCTGCAACTTTAATG